GAGAGGTGCCACTCCCTACAGATTACGATATTAGAGCACCTTATATTGCCTATATATAGACCTGATTCATTCTCAAATATTTGTATGGAAATGGGCAAAGTAGTTACCTATTGGCCTGTTTTCCAACTTTCTTGAGAATGTTCCTCAAGTTTCACTAAATTAAGTTGTTGTTAGTTGCCATTAGGATAGTGTATGTATCTTTCAAATTCAGTCCTTTATATTTAAGTATGTGTTTTCAAGGCATATTTTTCTGAAAAATCTTGTCTGGGTTCTTAATGTTATTACCCTCTATTTGTTAGGGTACATAGGGTTTTCAGAGGCCTGCTATTTCAGACGTGGATGGTCAATCCTTCTTCCTAGTCTGTCTTAATCTGAATGTTCAGATTTAGAGAAGTATCAGACAGACCAGCATTTTACAAAAAAGTGAAAGATATATCCCTTATTGTGGAGTTAAGCTCAACTAAACAGTTTAATAGAAGATTTCAAAAGGCAGCATGGGATGACAAAGTAAGATATTACAATGAAATGTGCAAGGAGTTGGAGTCAGAAAATCAAAAGGGCAGAACTCGCTCAGCATTTCTTAAGCTCAAGGAACTGAAGAACAAATTCAAACCTCGAGTTGCTATAATCAAGGATGCTTTTGGCAGAATATTAAATGATCCAGGAAGTATTAAAAGAAGATGGACAGAATATACTGAGTCACTGTATCAAAAGGAATTGGCAGACACAGAAGAATTTAATGAAACAACATATGAGCAAGAGCCTATGGTGATGAAAGAAGTTCAGGCTGCTTTGAAGGAAGTGGCAAAAAATAAGGCCCCAGGAATAGATGTTATACCAATTGATGTATTTCAGCTAACAGATGCTGCCCTGGATGTGCTCACCAAGTTGTGCCAAGAAATCTGGAGGACAACCACTTGGCCAACTGACTGGAAGAGATCTATATTTGTTCCCATCCCAAAGAAAGGTGACCCAACAGAGTGTGGAAACTACAGAACAGTATCATTGATTTCACATGCAAGCAAGATTCTACTGAAGATTATCCAGAAACGACTGGAACAGCATATCAGCAGAGAACTTCCAGAAGTCCAGGCTGGGTTTAGAAGGGGTCGTGGTACTAGGGATATTGTAGCTGATGTTAGATGGATCTCAGGTGAAAGCAGAGAATACCAGAGAAATGTCTATCTGTGTTTCATTGACTATGCAAAGGTATTTGACTGTGTGGATCATAACAAACTGTGGCTGACTCTGAGAAGAATGGGAATCCCAGAACACTTGATCGTTTTGATGCGAAACCTAGACTTGGACCAGGAGACAGTCGTCAGAACAGAGCAAGGGAACACTGCATGGTTCAAAACTGGGAAGGGTGTACGCCAGGGATGTGTCCTATGTCAGGAACTTTTCAACCTGTATGCAGAACAGATTATCCGGGAGGCTGGGCTCTATGAGGGGAAATGTGGGGTCAAGATTGGTGTAAGATCTATCAACAATCTGCGTTATGCAGATGACACAACCCTGCTTGCTGAAACTGAGAAGGACCTGAAGTGCTTGCTGCAGAGGGTCAAGGACTGCAGCCTCCAATATGGATTGAGGCTCAATGTCAAGAAGACAAAGATTCTCACCACTGGGCCAATTGGCAGCAGCATCAGGATGGATGGTGAAGAGATTGAGATTGTTCAAAGCTTTAGTTTGCTTGGGTCCACATCAACACTCTTGGCACCAGTAGCCAGGAAATTAAAAGGCGTATTGCCATGGGAATGTCTGCTGTTAGGGACCTCTCCAAAGTGCTGAAGAGCAGTGGTGTCTCTCTGGAGACTAATGTGCGTCCGATACAGTCCATGGTCTTCGCAATCACTTGTTATGCATCAGAGAGTTGGACAATGACCAAGGAGGATAGAAGGAGAATTGATGCCTTTGAGCTGTGGTGCTGGAGAAGAGTATTGAGAGTACCGTGGACTGCTAGGAAAACAAACAAATTAATCCTGGCAAGGGTTAAACTGGGTGGCTCCTTGGAGGCAAGAATTCTGAGGCTCCATCTAACATACTTCGGACATGTTGTGAGGAGAGACCAGTCCTTGGAGAAGGACATCATGCTTGGGAGGATGGAGGGACAGTGCAGGAGGGGAAGGCCCCCTATGAGGTGGACTGATTCAGTGACTGGGGTAATTGGGATGGGAGTGTCAGAGACAGTGCAATTGGCACAGGACAGAGCAGAATTTAGTGCTGTTGTACATACGGTTGCTATGAGTCGCAAGCGACTTGACGGCACATAACAACAACAACAACAACATATGTTAGGGTGGCTTAGTGGTAAGGAATTTCACTGCCTAGCCAAAGGCACATGGTTTGAATCCACCAGATGCTCCATGGGAGAAAGATGGGCTATCTCATCCCATGCAATTTACTGCCTCTGAAAACCTGTTGAAGGTCAGCTATGAGTTGCTTCTAACTCACATAAAACATGTGTTACAAATTCCCAAATCAACATCTCCATGGCAACCTTAACCAAATTTAATCTCAATTCAAGTTACTAAAAAATACTTCCACTAGATTACTTTTTTATCACTTCATAATCATGATGCTTAAGCTCTTATACTGTCAAAACTCGATACTCATTTTCTAAAATTCCATACAAGACGTGAAAAATCTAATGTCTGGAGAACATCATGGAGACCAGCAGATGTGGAGGGAAGAAACTATTAATAAGCTTTATTAGAACATCATAACAGAAATATGAAGGGTTGAACAGAGACAACAATAACATAGAAAAAGATAATTTGGTATTTTAAACAAAGAAATACTGCATTTGATGACTACAGTGAAGAACAAAATAAGAGTCAATATTACTCTAAAATATTGAGTTTGAGTGATTGAATATGTTTTATTGAGTTTCATTCATTAAGTTGGGGAATACTGGAGGGATAAATTATGAATCTGGTCTTTAAAATATTGAGCCTGAGGTACCTGTATGACAGACATCAAGTGAAGAATCCATGAGTTACCTGGATATCTAAATTAAAGCTGAAAAAAACCCCCCCTGATTATACATATTAAATGATAGATGAAAGCATGAGTAGAAGATATGGCATAAAGTCTAAGATTTAAGAAAGGATAACAAAAAAATATATGTTTGGTAACTAGGGTCAGATATATTAGAGTCAGTGAGACTAGCTGAAGAAAGGCATAAACACACAGCCCTATGTGTTGGTATGAATATGTCTCTCTATCTATGTAGTAATATAATTTACCTTCTCAAGTTGGGTCTCCTCCCAAGCCTCTCAATTTTTTTGAATTAATAAGTCTATTTGTTCTTGGGTTTTTCTAATTCATTTGACTCTCATATTTAGTGACTCCAAATCACAGTGGGTAAGACTATAGAATGTAGAGCCAAATATTCTGGAATCAAAATCCTGCCCAACCATTTACTAGCTGTGTAATACTGGGCAAATGTTTTAAGCACTCAAATGGCAAATCTATTAAAGAGTTGTTAAGAAAACTTATAGGGGCTAATGTTTTTAAAGAGTTTAGAAAAAATATTTATTATGTGGCCTATAAACATTTTTATATAAAGAAAGAAAGATGCCTATCAATTTTCTTGGTGAAGTTTTCAAATGTGACTGTTTTTTATTTAACACCCAAACAGCTGAAGCTCCTCTGTTTCATATACCATTACCTCATCACTGTATTACAATTTTTTAATACCTCACTAATTATCTCTTAATAATCAAGAGCTATTTGCCTGGTTTATGAATGAAACCTTTAACTACACAATTCAGCCTAGAATTCAGATTTGTATTTTGAACTCTGTGCTGGACAGCTCCATGTGGCTATGCCAGTAAACATTCAATTCAACATGTCTGAAAAAGATTAAATTCATTTCCTTTCTGTAGTAGCATCACTGCAAATGATTAGTCTTCAACTAGCAAAAGATTAAAAATCTCGGAATCAAGATCCTTTTGTCAATCTCTCTCAACATCCAAGTAGTAGTGGAGTCTCGACCCCATCCCTTTGCTTTCACTCAAGTAACTGTCATAACTCTATCTCAAGATTTCCTTCAGATCTCATTGCCTTTTCAAAAGAACTTTTAGCTGAGCTCCCTACACTTTAGCTAAAAAGTCCAGAAGCAGCTACTGGAATTCTCTGTCTGTAGGTTTACCTCTAAAATAAAACAGCTTTGTAAAGTGCAAATCTAACCATTAGCAGTTTCTTTCAGAACTTTAAAAACTACCACTTCCCTTCACAATCTGGACTTCAGTCTACTTTTACAGTCTCATGTTCTACTAGTCTACTGTCCCAGTGTCATATCCTATTCTTTGAGGCTCCCCACTTCTTTCTTTTCACACACAAGTCATGCTCGATCATTATCCAGTAGCATTATAATTTTTCCCTCTGCCTGAAAAGCTTTTTCACCTCGTCCTTTAGAAGCACAATTAGCCAGCAACTGCCATATAAGTTCATACATAAGTGATTGATACACTGTAGTGTGAACACTTATTTTGTATCTAGCTCACAAAGTTGACCTTGAATATTGTAAAGCTTTCTTACAAATCTCTGCCATCGGGCTAGTATTGTAAAAGAAATCTGGTCACTTGCCCATTTGCAGAGAAACCTCAGCAATGGGTAACTTAGGTCAGCATTGCTAGAGATTCTCAAGGCTGGCACTGAGGCCTTACATTGAGTAGGCTCCCGGAGCTGGTTTTCCAGGGTCTCAGCTCTGGCACATTTTAGAAGATGCCAGAGTCAGGTGTCCAAACCTACTCCAGAGGTCCCAGGAGGAAGTCTTAGAGACACCAGTAGCCTCCCTACTCTATCCTTTCTGAAAGGAAAGGGGCGGGGCGCCGCGTGGGCAGATCCCAGGGCTCCTTCACTCCCCAGGGGCCTAGGCCAACCCCTCTGTCCCCATCCTAGTGTTAGTCCTGGCGGATCCAAAGCCCCAAGGGAGCTCGCACCTTAAGAGACCCCGCACCCCCGCCCGGCGCTCCATCCATCTTTGCACTTACAGACCCCAGGAAAGATCGTCGACAGGATCCTGCACTGCCAGGAGCTCGGGCCCCTCGGGGCTCCGGGTAGGGGGAGGGGCAGGGAACCCGAGCCAAAGGGGGACCCAACGGAACCGGAAGGGCAGCCCTCGCCGGACGCAGACAACTTCCAGGTCCCATGGTCTTCTCCACCAATCGGAATGCTCGGAGGGCGACGGGGCCCCTAGAGGAACTTCTAGCGTTGTGGGCGGAGTGCTGGAGGATGCGCCGCAGGCATTTTAGGTAGCTGTAGCTAGTGCTACTATTTATAGTTTTTTAGGGCTCTGGATCCCCGCATTCCGCGCGAGAGAGCTGGTTTTGGCCTGGATCTCGGTGGTTTCTCTGAAGCCAGACCTGCCTGCTTGGGCCCCCGCACTTATGCCTCGGTAAGTCCCTCCCGCCTGGGGGTGTGGACTCACCGTGTTGGGGCCCTGAAAACAGTCGTGTTTACACCCCCCCCCCCACTCCCGGCTTTTTAATATGGTGTTTTCCAAGGATCTACTCTCTTAAATTCCACCCTTCCTCCCCACACCCCGTCTTCCTTCATGCTCATTCTTGATCCTTCTATTCCTATAGCTTAGGTCACCAACTACGTCCTCATCATTTTAGATCAAGCTCTGATTCTTCTGCCTAGAAGACGTCTTTCTTCGGTTGATTGTTTCAATGTTAATTTACCTCTTATTTATCCAAGTTCGTCTCCAAACCTGTTTTTACTACTCTTCAATAGACCTTGTTGATGAATGCCATCATTTCTGCCGACCAGAAAACTTGAGAATGTTTCTAGAGGCGTTTTCTATTTTTCCCCTTGGCTTTTTACTTTTTAAAATTCCACTTAGAAACCTGTTTCTTTTTGTCTTTCTCCTACTCTAGTTTAATCTTTTCTGGTGTTACGAAGCTTCCAAATTCTGTTTATTGTAAACGTTTCTACTCAAAAATACCGCCATCTCATATCTGATATTGCCACTCCGAGAGCACCCACCCCTCTATAAAATTTATCATTGCCCTTATTTTAACAGTTAGAAATCTTTCTATTCAGTCCTCAGACTACCACATCACTTAAACTTTACCATATATTCCATCTCTACCCATACTAAGAGAGTGTGTGTGTGTGTGTGTGTGTGTGTGTGTGTGTTTAAAGTACAAAAATACATATTGTAAATTAATTGAGCATGTTTGGAAACCAAAATTACTGACGATAAGTAAGATATTAGTGTATATTGTTGTTAGGCGTCGGTGAGTTGCCTACAACTCGTAGCGACTCTATGTACAACAGCTCTGAAGGCTCTATTATACATAGGGTTTTTGAAGACCTGTTATATATTTTCAGAAGTGGATGACCAATACTTCTTAGATAGTGAAATGGAATGTACAACATCTAGATTAGATAGGACGTTTATGACTAAAAAAACCCATAAACGCTGTCACTAGTGGTGAACATTAGTTAGCATCATTAATGATGTGTCAGCCAGATGTTATGTATTGCATGTAATGAAACACGAAGTACAACATAGCATCACCTTTATGTGTTATGTTAGTATGATGTATGCAATCCCAAAATATTTGACTCTACTGAGTGTTAAAATATAATTTTCAATTTCCCAGAAATACAAGGTTTAGAGAAACAAAGACACTTTAAGGAAGCAAGCATTCAAGTTTAGAGATAGGACATTTTCACTTCAGGTGTTTTACCTTTTCTATATGCCAATGTCTTTTTATTTTAGACTTAAAGGACATACAGTGGTGGCCCTGGTTTTGATGCTAATTTGGGAAAGCTAGCTATAAATATATTTGGGTAGGTAAGATTTTAATATAGTTTTCTTATTCTTAAATCTGATCTTGCTTCTGATTTGTCCACCTTTCTCCCTGTGGCTGGTAGATTCGAACCACCAGAAGTGCCATTTTTGGATTAGCAGGACACCTCCCTCACTACATGCTGTGTCACCAGAACTCTCTAAGTCAGGAATCTGATGAAAGTAAAATTTACTGAAATGAGGCTTTTGATTTGAAGAAGTCAGTCACAAAGAATATTTTTGGTTAAAAAAAAACCATACCCCTGAATGTGATCTAGAAACTAGATGAGAGAAAAATGTCTGAAAAAGGTAGATAGTATTAACTGAAAATGCAGATTACTTAACATTATGCTCAAATATTGTTAAAAAATATGTCTGCACACAGAAGGATATGCATGAAAATATTAACAATGGTGGTGGTCCCTGGGTGATGGGAATGTGAGGAATTTTTGTTTGCCTGTATTTTCTATTTTTATCCAAATCATGTATGTTGATTTCTCCAATAAAAGTTTATTTTGAAAATTTTAATAAAGGTTTTCAGATAGATTTGGTGTGTACATGTGAATCAAAAATACATGAAAGAATAATCACCAAAATATGTTTAAAAAGTTATTTGTCAGGGTGGCAGGATTTTAGGAGATTATTGTTTTTAATACTGTATCTGTGATTTAAACATTTTAATATGTGTGTACTATTTAACTATATAATGTGAAAAAGCAACAAATTATTTTGAAATGGACAAGTTCCTGAGAGGAGCTGAAACAGGACTTCTTTTTTTCGTGTTTTTTGCCCCCGTTTGATATGAATGTAATGCTCACTAAAAACATTTCAAATAACTCATTCACCAGAAAAATTGTATATATTATCTGAGTAAATAAAAGGAGAATTGAAAGCTGTAGTTACTTACCAAGGCTGAACTCATCATTGTTAATGGCTATTACTACCAATAATCATTCTTTCTATTATCCGTGTGTGTATATAATTTTCTCCAAACAACAATTTAACTTCATTGAGAATGGAGACTTTAAAAACTATTATATTGCTTTTTGAATTGTGGTGTTGTCGAAGTATTGAATGTACCATGGACTGCTTAATGGATAAACCGGTCTTGGGGGAAGTGCAGCCGGGATGCTAAGTGAAGAACCAGCCAGGATGGTGAAATTTTGCCTCACATACTTTGGGCATGTTGTAGGGAGGAGCAAGTGCTTGGAAAAAGACACCATGCTTGGAAAGGTAAAGAGTCAGCTAAAGAGGAAGACCCCCAACAAGGATTGACACAATGACCATAGGAAGGGGGAGATCTGGAAGCTGGTACAAGATTCTGATCTGTTCATAGAGTAGTTTTGTGTAGTAGTTAACTCGATGGCATTTAACAAAAGTATATTTATTTCGATGTTGAACTTTTTTTAAAATCTAAAATCCTCCATCTTTGAGTAGCATCCTGCAACAACTTGGCAAGTATAAGGCAGTTTCGTTGTAGGCTGTGACCTTGAATTTGGGAGTTTAACATTTGACTTCTAGCCTGGATTCTGTAACAAGGGCTCAACTCTTTACTAAAGTGAGAAGAATCACACTGTATTCTCGGGGGTTTGTGGTAAAGCAGTAATGAAATCCCCTAATAGATCCCTGCATAATCCCTGTCACTGTTGAGTACCAATTTTCCAAATGTAAGGCAAGCATTAAAAAGAAGATGAATCTTTATGCCATTATTGACTGGTACTCTGTTATCCCACCTCCGTTTAGGCTCAAGGCTGTTATCTTACTCCGCCTTATACACCCCCTGCCCTGGTCTCAGTCCCTGCCGCTGTCACACCGGAGCCAGCCCAAACCCCCTAGCATCGACCCAACCCTACCTCCTCGTGCACCTAGAGTTCGGGCTCCGCGCAGGCGCAGACGTCTAAGCCAGTCCAAAAGCCCTGGCGGAGCTTGGAGGAAAGGAAGCTCTCCCTCATCTCTCGCTTTTAGGCAAATACGGCCGCTCGGTTTAGCCACGGGCCTATGAGACAAGCTAGAAGGCGGGGCGGAGGGCGGAAGAAGCCTTTCTCACGTGAGCTGGGGGGGGAGGGGGGGGGGGGGACGGGCTGGGAAAAAGAGGGGGACGGTTTGGAGGCTAAGGCGGCGGAGCCTTCGGGACGGCTTACGGCAGGCAGTGGAGGAGGAGACGGCGGGTCGGGTAGGGCCGCATTCCACCTCCTCCTTCCAGCCTCCCATCCACAACCCTGGGGAAACCTTCCGAAGGCTCCTGCCGCGACGCAAGCTGTTGTTTCCTCCCGCTGGACTGGGCCGGTGAGACTGAGTCCAGCTCCTTCGACGGGCCAGATTCCGAGTGGAGCCGTGATTGGGGGGAAGGGGAGCTGGACTGAAGGAAGAGGGCGCATGCGCAGACGGGAGTGCTCGCGGAGCCCCTGCCCAAACCGGTTCCCCCTGTCTGGGTGAGTGTGTTGTCTTCTGAGTCTTTCCTGTATGACTGTCCTTCTCACCCCGCAAAAAAATCTGGTTTGTGCCTGCGCCTTCATGTATTGGCCCCATCCCGATTTGGGATTCTGGTCGCCCCCTGTGCCTCAGTTTCTCCACGCCTTTCCCCATTGCGCGTGGGGCCTGTTACTAAGGCCGACTTGAGTCATAAGCTAGTTGCCTCAGATGCGCATAAATTTGAAAGACTTGAAAGGCTTTATTTCAGTGTTCCTCTTCGATCTCGTGTTGATAATTCGGTCTTTTGCAGCTTTGTAACGATTAATGTGCTTGCAATTAAAGTGTTTTAAACATTCCACTCTTCCTATCTGTTTGAAGCATTCGACCACATCGCTGTTAGCATCTTTTTATTCTCAGCAGCCTTCAGGATGCTAAGTGTTGAGTGCGAGCATAACCCGTTAAGCAGTTTGCTGCCCACTGTTTGGTCTATGATCAGTGCTCTTTTGCCATCCAGACGGTTTCTGTTTACCACTTGCTCCTCAGGAGAATCTCTCTATACCTGTGGTTAACTTGGAGATTCTTTTATCTTGAAAGAGACCTAAATTCAGTAGACCTATTTTTAAGTGATCATCTTTCCACCGTTCTGTTTAAATTATGTTCTAACTTGAACTTAAGTTCTTTCTGGCTTTTGTCTTTTGGTTATCAGCAGAGGGGAGGAGGTCAGTCAGGGATGCAGTTTTACAGTGAATTTGATATTGTGCAAATAAACACCTGTATTCACGTATATATGACTCTAGTAGTGACTATAGTGGTAAGGGGGATGTGGGAGTGTGTGTGT